TGTGCAATTCATTGGGCTGGTTTATAAAGAGAGAGAAAATATCTGAGGACAGGAAAGGAATTTCACAGATATTTCAACAGCACATCAGAACTATAGTGCATTTTACCATCTCAAGATTTATTTTCGCCCTCCCTTCCATTAAAGGGGGGGGCAAGAAAAGGTGTATCAGCGCTGCATCTCCATAGCAGTTTCCAAGAACAAATTAAGGAGGGGAAGAAAAAAAAACGAAAAGGAAAAAAAAAAAAGAGCTGCATTTTCCATGCCTTCCTTCCTTATCAAGGGAGGAGAACCGTGATGGCTCCAATATCCCCACTACAAGTATTGACATTTTTTCTAACCTCAAGACTTGCAACTACAGCTTATATAAAGCCTCTGAAGAAGTCCTATGAAGAAGGATGGGAAGAAGGCAAGTTTAACATGAATTTAAGGTCATGTACAAGGAAGAAACGTTGCAGGAAAAACATTTTAATAGTTTAATACTTTAAAAAGCAAACACCCACTCACACCAACAGTACGGTCCAAAGCGCCCTTTCCCCCCCCTCTGTTACCTCTGGCATCGGTAGTGAACCATGGACTTTGCTATGGCTGATGGGGTATGAGAGGAGGGAAAAGCAACCATCAGAGGTGACTGATGACCACGTAATTAGCAACACAGCCTACTCGGATCTGTGTTTGCTGAATGTACCCAGAGAGGCTACAGCTCATGGTGGCGCCAGGATATTATTGTACATGAGGCTGCAGGAACAGGTACGCTTTAAAATGTTAGCTATGTCATTTGTGCTAACAAAACATAATGAAAAGTAACTCCTGTGCATGAAAAGCAGACACTTTTAGAACCCGTTTCTGAATTGACTTTAATTTCAATCCTAGACTTTAAACACCTTCAGTAAGTAGCATTTGAATTGACTTATCAGCAACCTGGTTAGGTTTATTTTCTGAAAGACTCTGAGGCTGTGCTTTGGAGAAAAATGCTGGGAAAAATGTAGAAAGGGAAATTTGGGGTTTTTTTATTCCTTTGCCAAAACCAAGTCCGAAAGACTGCAAGCTGCACTAATTTAGCAAATATTTTGGACAGAATTATTTTTAAAATTCCATTTGACTCAGCAAATAGTTTGATGGGGACAACTGAAAACAAAAACGGCGCTTTTTTTGTGCTCAAGTGATTCAGGAGCGTTTTAAGTCCTAGCAACTTCCTATGCCACTAAAGCATTTAACAACACTTGACTGGCAGTATAACTCAAATTTAGAGACATTCAGAACCCAGCTGTCATCTTGGGCATCTACATAAATTGATCAGCTGTAGGCTTAGATATCAAGCAGCAGATACAGACATGGAGTCTTTATTATCCTTGCTAACAGAAGACTATCATAAGCTGCATAGGTGCCTTTATTTAAGTTGGGGTACAGAAATAGCTCTGGTAGGTGTGATACATCTTCTGTTACAGACTTGGAAATAGGTTCACTAACATAACTGTGCTATCTCATGTTAGCAAATATGATCAATCCAAGCAAAAACTCCAAATCCACTGGGGGAAAGGACCATTTATTTGTCCCTTTGTATAGTGCAGATCTCAGCTCATCACTGAAGTTTCTGGGTACAACAGCAACACACAGAAAAAACACTTCAGATGCTTTTTCACTGCAAAACTCTACTCTGGATATATCCAGGATAACACTATGCTCACCACCTGCAATTACAAAATTTCAGCAAAATGCCTGAATAAGGAGCACAATGCTGCACACCCTTCGCAGATGGCTGGGGAGGGAGGGTGCCTTCAGACTCCTGGCTGTTTGGGTTGTTGACCTATGCTAAATATTCAGATTTATTGAACGTCCTCTTAAGGGCTCTACAAAGGAGTTTCAGAAGGTTAAAAATCCTGCTTCGTGTTCCTAGTGACCTGCAAAATGAAAGCAAGATGAATTTATCCTGCCCACCCACACTCACCCATGATTCTCAGGGCCAGCAGTAATGACTCGAAGCAGCACATCTTCTGTTTAATGGTCGTGCTAAATTATTGCAGAAAAGGTATAAGGTCTCTGATCGCAAGAGGTGCAAGTTGCACGCTGCAGACCTTCCTGATGTGTTTAAATGACACGTAACTACTCTAGTTGAACCGAGTTATGCTAGGCTGCACTTAACACAAAATGCTGTGATGCCTTTAATTGGGCTAGTAAGTCCAACTGATTGTAAATAATTATAGTGTGGTCCTCAGGGATGATCATTAGTAGCCACAGACACGGAGACCCAACTGGCCACATTCATCACAGTGCCTACTTCTGCAGTTCACAGGTATGTACCAGGGATGCGTTTGGTTCAGCTGTATCTTCAGCCCTTGGAGGAGCGGGAAAGGATAAAAAGCTTCCAATGTCCCACACATCTTTTAATACTACACTCTATTAATGCATTGGCCATCTGACTACACAATTAAAGCATCAATAAAATAATTCTCCCTCTAGTAAAAGAAATTTTCATGAACACAAGATTGTATGCTAGAAAAACACCAAGTCACGTTTACGCTGCATGGTGACAAAGGGTTTTAAATATTTGCTAATTCCAGGCCACTGTTGATATCCCCTTCCTTATTCTTAGTTACACAAAAGTATATCCTGAGGTCTGGGTCTTTTTTGTACACCTGTTTCAACTTTTTTTTTTTTCCTCAAATACATAATTTTTAGAAGAAACTTTCTCATCCTAAACTACCAAGGTTAGAACAAGTAATATGTTCTCCGTTTTTACCACTGCTTTTCTGGAGTAATTTATCTCCTAATATTCACAAGGTGACTCCATTAGCACATTTAAGAAGTGCTAGGAGAAGATCTTTTAATCATGGACATAACTGTTTATGATAGTTGTCTGTCGTTAATTAGTTTGCAAGCCTTACACTCTCTGCTGAGGATGCCCAGAGAGGATTCTCACTAACACAGATGTTTTACACATGTACAAGCTGGATTCTGCATGTAGGCATACCGCTACCACCTGAATGTAAATAAAATGGCCCAAATATTCAAGTTGCATTTAAAATGGAGTTGTTCTGGTAAGGAACATTCTTTATCCCAATTCTGAGCAGCTGGAACATGTTATCAGGAGATTGCAACAGCCTGATTCAGGCATTTGATTTACTTTCAAAACAGCGTTTGCCAAAGTACTGCAGTACCTTAGCACACAACGCCCCTGAGTACAAAACATATCTAGCTGGAAGTACTCCTCCTCTCCAAACAGGTCATGCAATATTGTTACCACTAAAATGGTATTATTTGTGTTTGAGAAGGTATTAAAAAAAAACCCTAAAAACTGAACAGAGCCCTGTTCAGATTTATAACTAACTGGAATTTACCATAAAATTTGATTGTAGTTGTGTGTATTCATCTATTTTTAATAGATTTCCTAAAGGAATAGTTTGCAGGGCCAACCATCGATTTTTTCCCTCTTCCTCATCCCACATACATGACTGGACTCCTTTTCCACTTACAAACTCAAAAAACAGAAAAGCTTTTAAGTACAACTAAATCTCTGTAAATATACAGATATCTGGGGCTAGAGAGAGAGGGCACTTATCCCAAGCCATTGGGCACAGAAAGGTAAAAGGAGGAAAATTTAGCAGTTACATTTTTGTTTGGCAGCAGTTGTTCAGCCAAACCAGCAAGTGTGCAGCTCCCAAGGAGCAGCAGCCCATGCTGCCGTTTGCACGCCGGGGTGGATGGAAGTCTGGTGAAGGAAGGATTTGGGTAATGAAGGATAACTCCTGAGCAAACCAGGCTTCATCAGTTCTGCTACTTGTGTTTTGGTTTTCACGCCAGGCGTTAATCTCCGGTCCCACTTTCATTAGTACAAATAATCCAGTGAACACAGCGACAAAACAGCAGCCAGTCACCTGCTTCAGTGGATCAAATCCCCAGTCATTCCACTGGGCAAAGGAAATTCATTATGGTATGTTTTTTCAAATGAGTCTTATGAGCAGACCTTCAAAAAAGGCATTTTGGAGCTAACTCCTGCTGACTTAAAGGGAAGCAGGATTTCAGCCTACGTGCCAAGACCCTCCGTTGTTCAGCTGTGAGCACACAGCCTGCCTCCAGAGCCCTAACCTTCAATTCTATACCCATGAAAATGAACATCTTGCCCGAGTGCAACTGCCAGCAGAGCAGCAAGAGGAGACAGAAGCTGCGTTATGACCCAACATAACAGATTTGAGCCTGAACCTTCCATCACAGACACAAAGAATTGGTAGAACCAGTTATGTAGCTGAAATAACTTACATACTAAGTGAACAAAGTGGTTAATGCACTCTAATACCCAACAGCGTACAGGAGGACGACGTGGCTGGAAGAGCTTTCTGAGGGCAACTCACTCCATTTTACTGCTCAAGCTAAAACCTCAAGTCATGGGGAAAAAAAAAAAAAAAAATCAGCCCAATGGATACTCAGTCAAACAGTAAGCAGTATCGCTACCAGCTCTCCATCAGTTTTCAAAAGTCCTGGGGACTTCCTGAACTTAGATCAAGTTTTAGCATTACTTAAGCACAGTATGTAATGACCACCCACCCTGACATTGCCAGAGAACAAGCTGCAGCAGAGAAGTGGAGTGAAAATGCTCAAAATGTCACATCAGCAGCCATGAACAAGAACTCAGGCGCTCACAGTTCTCCAGTTGAGTTGCATAATCAACGAGAGCTCTGCTTTGAAAGCAAACAACAGAGAAGATGAGCTGAAAATGGGAAGTCATGCTATAAAGTGATGAGTACTCAGACTATTTAAGCATCATTACACTCTTCAGCTATGTTTTGACTCGGCCTACAAAGTGTCTCTTCCAGCAGTACATCTCTGTCCTAAATTTGAAGTCAGCAACTTCACAAACAGTTCACGCCTTGTGTATTTAACAAACATCACAAACAAGAAAAGCCTGGACTTTGGGTTCACAGCTCTGTGAAACCTCCACAGAAAGTCACTGGTTGTGTTAGCAAGCATTTGGCTCAGGGTACAGAATAGAAAAAAAACAAACTCACATGGTGCATGGAACATCACTAGCACAGAAGAATGATCTTTTATAAACTTGTCGAAGTCCTCATCAGTCAGGTGATAAACTACATTTTCTTCATCTGCCCAAGGAGTCTCCGGAGCCTGTGGCTGAGGTGCCTGTGGGCTACAAGACAAACAGACACAGCTGAAAACCAACTCTCGGGTACTAATCAGCCATTTTGCAAGTCAGACTGCAAGAAACCACTTTGTGCAGATGTCTGTGCACACACTAACCCTACTGAACAGCTTCCATAATTGTACCCACCCAGAACTCATAAGCACAGAAACTCAGATAAAACTGGAGGAGGAATAAAAATCCTCAAGAAGCTCACGAGCACAGAACAGCAATGGAAGGGGATGGAGCGAGGAGATAACCAGGCTGCTTGGTTATTACATTATAGAAATCAGATGCATTTTCTGTTACTCTTTTACCCTCCTCAGCAGGATGCTCCTTTTCTCACAGCATTCACACTTTGTAGTTCACAGGAGCCATTGCAAATGGAAGAAAGAAGTAATGAGCAGAAACAGCCAATCTAACCAGTCACCTTGAATACAGACAGCATGATTAGGGCTGACAGGCAAAGAAGGAGGTGCAGCGTTGGAACCATGAGCTAGCTACACAGACAGCTTCCCCAGGAACATATGGGTTTACCCTGAACAACCCTGCTTCCCCAGGTCACGTTGTTATGTCCTCACTTAACAGTGAGCTTGTAGGCCTAATTCAGCAAAGCTACTCGACGGCATGCTTAACCTAAAAGATAAGTGACACGTTCTACCAACTTCACTGTGATTGTACGTGAGTTTAACCATCTTTGATGGATCAGAACCAGAGAGACGACTCAAAGATACGGTGGCAAATCTGGAAACTGAACCCAAGCTCCTCTGGATCAGTTCAGTGCTCATCATCTGGCTAAACAATTGCTCCTGGCTTTTATTAACATACATTAAAAAGAGAATTTGGCAGATGTGACCTGAACTATGTTAACTGACATTTTATTTATTAAAGCAGTGTTCACATAAAGGACACCCAAACATAAGAACATTTGGAGCCAGACTTTGAAGCTATTTTATCCTTGCCAGTTGTAGTAATGAGTTGCAAATACCCCCCAAATTCCCCAAATTCTTTGGCAAAGTACAGGTCTGGATGTGCCCCCATTGCTGGCAAAACTAGATTTACTATTTTTGATTAAAATGTATTATTGTGTTAGCTGCCTGGAACACGGAATGGTAAATGGATGATAACTCATTTATCCTGCCGTGCTCATTTCTAGGCTGAAAGCCTAGTTTGATAAAAAAAAGCAGTAGAGAGATACACAGATTCAGATAGCAAATTCTGTTGATGTAAGCAATGGGTATGATCCAAGAATATTAAGCAATCCATGCAAAACTGTGATGCACACCTCTGCTGCTGCTTATATGATAAATGAACCAAGAAACAAACATCAAAGCAAGGATCAGAGCTGCACTCAGCCAAGTGGCCGAGACAGAAAAAGACACAGGTCCCCGTCCTCAAGAGTTTACTCTCTAAAAGCTTAGCAGATAATCAGTTTGCTTGCTGCTAAGCCTGTAAGAGAGCAATAATCTGCAGGTATCCTGGCAGAGTGAAGGCTTTCCAGAAAACACCATGACACTAAATTAATTTGGAAGAGGAGTTGGGTTGAGTAGGCAGGGCACGATGAACATGGGACACAGTGGCTACAAAGCACTGGGAGAACGCTGTGTTTAGCAGGGCCTGGCACGACCTATTTCAGTAAGGAATTAGTAAAGCAGGGCACAGGATGTTTATTCAAATGGCCCAATTTAAAATGCTGTGCATGCTAATAAGCCTACACAGGAGTTGGTAAGAAGCACCTCGAGGCCTGGAGGAAGCAACAAGCAAAATCTAAAGTGTCATTTAAAACTGAGACAAGTCACATCAAGGCCTGAAGACCAAAAATAGGATGACAGAAGTCTGGAAGAGTTATCGAGAGCGAATTCAATTAAGAACAGAGAACAGGTTCTTGCTTTAACTGAGTAGCTGGTGCTGAGGAAGGACCTGAGAGGAGTCCATAAAAACAGCAAGACAAACTAAGCAGCTATTTAAGGCAGCAAGAAGTTGTCTGGCTTGCGTACCATCCAAGCCGATACAACTGTGTATCTGATTAAACAAAGAAAGGAACTGTGGTATGCACAAGATAGCATAGTCTAAGAAAGAAGCACTTCAACAGCAGTAAAAGAAAAGCTGTTGGAGCCCTCTAACTAGCAGCTCTTGTTCTGAGAGGAAAGAACATCGAAAAACATCCTTTCAGTAATTTAAATAATTCTAACCTTCATGAAGTTATATCATACCCTCCCCAAAGTATTAGCATAGATCAACCACTTTCAGCACTTTACCAGTAACATTTAAAGGGAAAAAAAAACAGAGTTAGGGAAAACAGCTGCTTTTTTTGCAGCGTGTACCCAGTGTCCACAAAAAATAGGTCATTTCATATGGCTCAATGTCTGCTGGATTCTCTTTTGAGAATCTGTGATGACAGCACATGTGTGCATGGTATAAAAGCATATCGGCTTTCCTCGCCATGGGCTGCCAAGTACACTCTGGCACTGCTGTGCCCCTGCTCTGCAGAGCAATGTCTTGCATCAGAGTGACTTCCTGACCTGATTTTAATATTATACTATTCTGAAATATACCCTATACAGCCTGCAGCTATCTAATTACACTCTTCGGCTTTCCTAAAGCCCTTGCCATACCCCTTGACTACTAGTACTGCAGATTCCTCAGAGTAATATAATATTATGCATGTAACAGATTTACCCTGTATATGGTTTTAATTGCAAGATCAAACTGGCAATAGTCAAGTATGTATAATTTCTCAATGTAGTTTCCTTAAAAGTTGTACTTACTACGTAAAACAGGGGCAACAAGGCTACTGCTCAGATCATCTTTTGGGAAACTAATAAGCATGCACTAGCACTAAGTGAGGACAAACAGCTGTCTTTAGCTCTGGACTGCTGAAATATCAGCCAAAGCCCACAGTGGCTTGTTAGCAGAGATTATCATTGGAAAGAGCTTGCAGCTGTTCTGTTTTGCCTCCAGTAGCTGTGTTCACTTGCTGTCACAGCACTGATATAAAGGCACTGCATATTACAGGGATTATCTGGATATTACGTGGGCAGACGGGGAAAAAACACACCCCTAACATCTAATGTTTCACATGTGGTAGCCAAGAGATAACCACATCCTTGCAAAACTGAAACACATAATAAAGTGCAGGTGATGAAGTCACATCCTTGCTGATCATCTCCTCAGCATTGCTGGCGTTGCCATCTTGATTATTCATATCTGAAGGCTTAATGGACTAAATGAGGCTTAAAGACTATGGCTAAATTCCCCCTCTTTGATCCACCAGGCAGTACTTGCCTGCAGTGTTTGTACCTCCTGATGCTAACAGGAATGCTGCCGTCACTTCATTCACGAGTTCCCATTCCTGAAGCACCTACCCTACTGCTGCTGGAGACCCCGGGCTGCCTGCAACCATATGTGTGCCCCCAGCATAGCCCCACTGGTATAGCGAGACAGTTTTGCTAAGCCATATTATCACAGTAGTTTGCAACTGCCCTTTCCCATGCATTTGTTTCCTTTTATTAGCTTCATTTCAAGATCATATCTGTGCCTGCAGCAAACAAGGGAGGGTTACAAAGATGACATAACACCCAAGAGCTGGGGACTAACTGCTAACGGTCTTTCTCCATCACCAGATTATCTCGGGTCTCCCCAGCTGCTCTGTCAGCTTCACTGACAACGTGGTCATTTGCAGCAGCTGAAGAGCAACTGTACACACTCACACACTTTTCCATCTCTCTCTCAACTGCTAGTCCCATAGGCCCATTCAGCCCCCAAAATATTTATGACTGCAAATAGCTCTCTTTAGGTAGAACACGATGCCTTCAACACCACTTCACATCATGACAGGAAACACAGACTTTGTAACAACGACTAGCAATCTGGGGTGCCTTGATCTCCAGTTTGTCCCTGCAAGACAGTCTAAAGGATACAGCTAAAGGTTGAACAACCAATGAGAACTGCACACTTGGTATACACATTTTTAATAAAACTGCAAAAGTCAGACCTTTTGCAAAGCATTAAGTTCAGGCAACCAAGATCACTCGAAATTTAAGTTGGCGTTTTTAATGAAGCTGAGATCTGTGTATCTGCATTTATTTTCGTCCATAGACAGTCTCCTATTTCAGACAAAATGCAATTGTAAAATGCAAGGCATGCATGCTAAAACCCAAACATTAGGCAATCTCTCTGTACCAGTTTATTCAGCCTCAGCAGGGTAGTTTTGTTTGCTCTTCTGAGCAGAGGGAATGAGGGAGATGGCTGTTCCTAAACCATTACATTCTGTAAATAATGAAGAGTACATAAAAGGTGGAGTGCATGAAGTTCAATGCCTTACTTTTTCAGCCACTCCGCTATATCTGCTGCAGTAGCACCATAGTTCTCAAAGTGGAACAGGAACTTTCCTTTCCTGTTAAAGCAACAAAACAAGGTTTAGTCCTTGCCCTGGAAGATAAGAACATGCAATTATAGTTGAATATATGATTTCTAAAGTAGTAGCAAAACATAACTGACTCAAAATAGCAGATTGTAGGATATCCCCGGACATTGTATTCTTCCTTTATCCTTTCAAATTCAGCAGAGTAAACATTCATCCCCGCAAGAACCTGAAAAAACAGAGCATAATCAAATAAATTCTTAAAATACAGCAGGAACATTACCACTTTTTTTAAAGAGTTAAGTAAAAACAATTAAGCTCTGAGCAGATTCTGATTTCTTTCATATTGCTGTAAAGCAAGGAGACCTCTGTAAAAAGCAGTGAAGTTTTTCTGGTTTTGTGCAAGGGGGAAGAGAGCAATATTTGAGTCTAGTCCACACAAAGCAAACACCAATCAGTTTGTCACCTCCTCCTTGGTCTGGAAGTGTCTCTCTCTTTTCATTCACCCACTAACAGAAATATCTAAAGGGAATTCTCTCAATCGTGTCACTTGTGCTCTTCTTTGTGTATTTGGATTTTAAGCTACAAACCTAAGTACACGGTTTAGTTCACATCCTAATGTTAGCTAGGACACAAGAAGTTCCACTCATCTCTCTGGTTTCCACTCCAGCAATGAATTTACATGTCCAGAAGATCTAACCGACCAAGCACTGGCATAATGAACTGTACTGTGTTCAGTTTTGGGCCCCTCACCACAAGAAGGACATTGAGGCGCTGGAGCGTGTGCAAAGAAGGGCAACGAAACTGGTGAGGGGTCCTGAGCACATGTCTTATGAGGAGCGGCTGAGGGAACTGGGGTTGTTTAGCCTGGAGAAAAGGAGGGTCAAGGGAGACCTTATCGCTCTCTACAACTATCTGAAAGGAGGTTGCAGAGAGGTGGGAGTCGACCTGTTCTGTCAAGTAACAGGTGATAGAACGAGCGGAAATGGCTTCAAGTTGTGCCAAGGGAAGTTTAGATTGGATATTAGGAAGAATTTATTTCCTGAAAGGGTCATCAGGCATTGGAATGCATTACCCAGGGCAGTGGTGGAGTCCCCATCCCTGGAGGTATTTAAGGGTCGTGTAGATACAGTGCTCAGGGACATGGTTTAGTGGTGGGCTTGTCAGTGTTAGGTTAATGATTGGACTAGATGACCTTACAGGTCTTTTCCAATCTAGGAGATTCTGTGATTATTCCAGTTCAAAAATGCTCTTACTGAATGGCAAGGGGAAATCAGCATTACTTTGATGTGAAAGTAAAACATGCCCTATTTCCATGAGTCCAGGAAATACCACATAGCATTTATATGCTTTAAATACGTTAACTTACCTGACCGGTAGTGTATAATGAGAGTTAAGAATTAACCTTTTCCTACAGATACCACAACAGGGGCACAGAAGCACAGTAGCTTTTCGGACTAGTAAGTGAAACAAAAGCCTCTCCTTCCCTTCCCTCTACCCCAACCCATCTTCTTCCTCAAGAGCCCTTCACCCTAAGCTTCAGGCTCAGGGCTCCTGCAAGTTATCCTGTGCCCTGTCCAATTGCCTTCCAAAAATTTCTGAGTTGAAAATCTGAAGATGAGACTGATTCTGAGTTTCTGTGGGTGTGGGATTCACACAGAGGTCTTTCTGCTGTCAAACCTTCAACTGGTGAGTTGCTGAGATACCACTTCATGATTAACTTAGTTTAATGGCATTGATGGCTTAAATCATTTTAGCAGCAGGGTCTTAATCCAAACCCCTCCTCCTTCCCCCTCCAAAACCAGGATTTTCTCCTTCCAGCTGAAACACCACATCAGAATTTAATACGAAGTTCCTGACTGCAGCAAACTGCACACACCAACCAAATGTGCTCAGAGCCAGCATGAAATAAATCTTAAAGCAGAAAATCCTCATTTGAAGGTCAACTTTTTCTAAGAACGTGCTGGAAAGTCACAAAAAGATACTTTGTTTTCTCTCCCCTACCCTGAGAAAGGATAAATGAAAGATAACCGAGTACAGAAATAGGGTTTACGCTGGCTGGCCATGCATCTTACTTTGAATTTTCCTTGTAGTTCCAAGAACCAGATTGACTTAATTTGTATGAGGTTATCTAGTGCCAATTCTCCTCTTCCCTCATCCTTTACGTCACCACTTGAGGGTAAGTAAATGTAATAGCATCAAGACACAGTGCTTGCTTTATAAAGCGAGAAGCAGGTTCGTTAACTAATTCCCTCATAAACCCCAGTCCACCAGATTTCATGTTTGCCGTGAACTTTCAGAGGATTTCCTAGGTTTTAAACAGGCGTTCCCAGCCATTTCAGATGCTCTCCCGCAATTTCACTGTGTCCACACAGCCTGCGGTGACTGATACAAGTCAATAACTTGGATTCATTCTGGTGTTCATAAATCATATGAAGCATAATTAGCAAAAAGCCTCTTACAAAGGGATTTGTTTTTAATGAAAAAAGTAACAGCTTTAGCTGACCTATGATCACAGTTATGTAATATCAGGCTGTCAGAGACCATCAAAACACACCCCCTACCCAAAGACAGGATCCTCCCTCTGTACCTGAGCTGCTCCTGCCAGATGTTTAGCTAATTTGCTTTCAGCAAATGACTGAATGACCCTGACTTCAATTTAAGTCCATTACCTCTTGCAACAGCCACAGCAGACATGAAGATCAGTTTATTCCTTTCGCCTCTGCAGTGACATTTGACATACTTCAACACTTACCTGCTCTCCACCAAGCTACCTATAACCTAAACCGACTCTGAACCTTTCCTAGCTGGCCACATCTTCTGGTCATTCCTGTTTTACTGTGGCCCCTCCCTCACTTCATAGTTTTCTTGATGGGATTGCTCCAAAACTGGTACCTCACAACACCACCTGAAGCCTTCCTAGAGCCAAGTTTAGTGAACAGATTAAACAAAGTCTTCCTTTATCTGATATCTGAAATACGTGTAGGAACTTTATGCTTCTGAAGTCTCATGTTTTTACCACTAAAAAAAAAAAAAAAAAAAAAAGGAAAAAAGCACCAAAGGAAGGAAGCAGTTAAGCATACACTCAAGCCGGTCTTGACCAAGTAAAACACTGGCACACAGAGTCCACAGGCATTAAGGAGATGCTGAAGTGCTTCGCTGACCACCAGTTCCTCCCTGCACTGGGGCCATAGTGCACTGGTGACAATCACTCGCCAGAGCCCACCCTACCCACAAAGTACAGGAATCTCTTGTGCCAAGGATAAAATAAGCCATTTTCTTCCAATTCGGAGCCCCTTTTCTCCTTCTGCGCTAGGTGTAATGGAACTGCAAGATTTAAACCGAATGTAACACTGAAAATGCCACCCTGCCTTCCTCTCAGTAACAGCCTGGGACAAGAATCAACCAGTCCCAAGAGAATGCAGCGACCAGCAACAGGTACAGTTCACCTTTTCATTTTTATGACCTATTAAAGAGGCAATACTGTACTTCATTTTCTTGCCATATAACAGCAATAATCGCTTTTGAGCCTGGCACATCCTGACAGCTAATGACAGGTCAGATTAAAAGGCCAAACTTTCATCTCATCCAAACCAATCATAAACTTTCCAGCAAAGTCTGATCTGGAGGTCAGCATCACTCTAAGGTACCCCAAGGATAATCTATTATGGGTACAGTGCAGTTAACTTTAGAAACAGCAAACTGTACACATCCCACTCAAAAAGCTAATTAGGTCAAATTTAGATGAACAGACTGATTTTTGTGAAAGGCACAGGTGGTAGTGGCATACCTGGACTTTCCTCTGAACTGATCCTGCACTAAAAACACTCCAGTGCAAAACGTAACCCTGACCTGAGCTGCATCGAGCACAGGCACTGCCAGCCTCAGTGCTGTGCCACAGCCCTGTCCCTCAGCTGTGCAGGATTAGCCCGGATCTACAGAAACCACTTCCAAGTGAGGAAGGAAATAATCAAACTAGAATAGATTTGGAGTTTAAATTCTCCGGTCTGAATTTAATAAAACAAGCTGCACATGGACAAGGAAGGGATAATTGCAGGAAAACACAGTGCTCTGCAGCATGCCTTCTCTCTGGCACTACCTCTGTAGGTGATTCTTTACATTCCTAATTTCTGCCCACCCCACGCCTCACAATGTACCCGCCGTGCAAGACAGGAGTGCCTTCCCAAAGCACACGCTCCATCGAGGGGAGATGGCATCAGAGTGCTGCCTGGCTAGACAAAAACGCACTTGAAAATATCTTCAAGGGTTGTACTGTGTCCTAAATAAATCTGAACAACTCCCACACATTTCAGCCCTAAGCAAACAAGGATTTAGAAAAATCACTTCTGAAAAATAACTTGTTGGGAGAACGTGGAGGAGTCCGACAGCACTCTGTGAGCAGCACTGGCCAGAGCTGCTCTAGTGGCAAACCACAGTGCTTCATCTCCTGAAGTTGTGCCGGGGAGGTTTAGATTGGATTAGGAAAAATTTCTTCACCGAAAGCGTTATCAAGCACTGGAACAGACTGCCCAGGGAAGTGGTTGAGTCACTACCCTTGGAGGTATTTAAAAGACCTGTAGATGTGGCACCTGGGGACATTCTTTAGTGGTGAACTTGGCAGCGTTAGGTTTACAGTTCGACGCAATCATCTTAAAGGTCTTTTCCAACCTAAATAATTTTATGATCTTTTCCTCATCATATGCCACCTCTCCTGAAGAAACCTGTAAACTTGACAGTGAATGATGCAACAGGCAGGATCAGACCAAACCCAGCTAAACCCATGAAACAACAACTCTATTTCTTTGTCAATGTATTATTGGTATCTTATACATTAAGCACATTATAAAACCTTGAGTAGAGAAGTGCCTTCGACTTGCTTAGAGAGATCAATACACCTTATTAGTACAAATAGGTAACTAAATTATTGTGACTGCTGTTGATAGATTTTATCATGGTCAAAACTTATTTTCCTTTCAATCTAGTATGAATGCTAACTTTGTTGACAAAGCTATAGTAAAACTATAAGATTTTATTAATGCTTAGCTTAGTGGCTAGGAGGATGATCAGTAGCTAATGTCAGGAAATCCTCCTCCCATGACACTGTGATTCTCCACTAAAAGTGGATTAATTATAACTATTAGGGCATCCACCTTTGATCATCCCTCAGTGAAGCATCAGGCCAAAAAGCTTATCAAACCCATTATGGCAAACATTTCTTTATCTTTACCAACATGAGTTCAACAGGACTACTAACTCACAAATTAGAAACTAAACATAAAACTATGTAGTGTCCGAGCCTTTTTTCCATGGCAAGAACTACACTGGATCTAAAGGATAAGTGAGTTAAGATCTCATTCTCCAAAGTTTTAAAAAGAATAAATCCAAGAGAGAGAATCCTGAAGAGATCTGGAACAGAATCATTCATTTCTGTTTTGTTTCAACTTGCTTAAAAATTCCCCACATTGATAACTATTTGTAGTTTTGAATACTAAAAAAAGAAAAAGTGTTAGAAGGTAAATTTCATATAAATCTTATCTTCTCACTTACATATTTACCCTTCAGTTCTGTGGCTGCCTGCTGGTAAGATGGCATCATTCTCTTACAAACACCACACCCTGATAAAAAAGAAATTGTGTAAGTAACACGCCAACAATTCTATTCAGATTGTTCTACAGGATCTATGTTCCAAAGCATATGAAACTACATTTTTTTTTTAATAGAAAAGGATCTTTAAAACAAAATTCCTTATCTATTTCGTGTAACAATTATTAGATTATTAGTTGCTATAGATGTTACTTCTTGTTACATGCAGCTATTTTTGCATGTTTTTCATGCTATGCATTTTCATACTCATTTCTCATCCCAGTTTTGGCAAGAGTAACACCATCTTATATTTCTCAGGCTCTGAGCTGAGACCAGAGAGGAACTTAAGATGAAACTCACATTTCAAAAGTCAATGGAAGATGTCATGCTTGTGAACTCAAACAAAAAGCTCTGTGCCTTTCTAGCCTTTAAAGGGAGGGGGGGAGGTATTTCAGATTCATCCCAGTTTAACAAGCGTCTTTGAAATTAATTTGAGACACATTTCCTAAACACATTAAACAGACATCAAAAGTTAAACAGTGCTCTGTTAATTGAGAAGACATAACTCAGAAGAAGCAAGAGCCCTTGTAGGATACAATAACTTTATGCACTGAGGAAAATACAAACAGCAAGTAAAGAAGACTACCAATGTATAGCTGGTGCGTGCTAAGAGCTGTTTGATGACGCTCTGGAGTTCTAAGTAGATTAGCACTAAATCACCTTGTAAGCAGCAGGTTTCATCCTTGCCAAGTAAAATATGTGCCTACACATGAGAAGGGGCAGGAGGGTGGAGAGCATGAAAGAAAGGAAGCTGCACTCAAGCACTTCAGACACTTCTTGTGGAAACTCTTGGGTCCACCATGGGACAGTAGTCAACATTCTTATTCTGGTGAAGAGATAAGGGTTTTGAAAATATCCTCCAGAAAGGAGGAACAGATTTTGCAGCCACTGGTTTAGGATCACATCAGCATGCCTGGGAGGAACATCCTTTAGTCAGAGAAAAGAGAGCTCTTGTTTCTGTGGTCTTTCCACCTTGATCTCTATGCTCAAATTGCCAGTGAGGTTGTTAAATTAGTGCTGGTCAAAATGACGATTTCTTGGTGGGTGCAGACCACTCATTTGAGGCCCACTGAGGTCCTGCAGCTTCCTCCAAACCACTGGACAGACATCAAAAGATATGAGTTATTAACACCATCTTCTGGATCCTCTGTTTCTTCTCTCTTCAGCAGCCTCAGGCCTCGAACTCACCCAGCTATCGATCGATCGATCTCTCTCTTCCCCTCTTCAACCTCTTACCGCTCCCTGGATTCCCTTCTGGAGCACAGGCACAAACCAGCCTCCTCCACCCAGCCATCACCCCTGTAGTCCTGCCGTTCCCAGCTCTGCTGCTGCCTCAAACTTGCTGCTCCCGAACCCACTCCAATATAATCTCTCCTGCCCACGCATTTCTGGGTTATACTGTTCAGGATGCTGTCAAGCCACCTGTATCCTTATACAGGCATACAAGGGTAACCTCGAAAAACTCATTTTCTTCTCTTCTTTTTTCTTGCACTTTGACTCAAAAGGAGGGGCTTAATCAAATACGTATTAGCTTTTCTACTAGTAATCACTATTTTTAAAGCCCTGTTTTCAATGACATTAAAACCAGCTCCTTTTTGTTGCCAAATCCAGGCTGTATCCTGCAGGAGTCTTCTTTGACAGTTAACTACAAATAAATCTAAATGCCTATAAGTATACCTAATTTTTCATGTTTAGTGCTGCCTGACTTTATAATATAGGTCCGAAAGTACAGTGAATGGTCTCCAAAATGACAGGTAATACCTTCTAAGGAAAGCACGCCTTTGCTCTGAGTCATTTTACCCAGACCAAGCATTTCTGAAATATTGAAGAAACTACATTTACGTTTGCAGCAGCTTTCATCTCCTTCTGCACTGGTACGTAATGAAAGAGCCCATTTCCTATGAATCCGCCGCAATGAATCTAAAGCCCCTGCTTCCAACAAAGCAGAGAAATAATGCAGCTGTCTTCCCTGTAGCTTCCCAAACAAAGCCTCTGATGTCCTCTCGTGCCAAAGACCCCCTGACTCATCCCTTACAAGTAAAGAAAAGCAAAATTTCTTGTAGTGACCAGCCTTGATTTGCTGCTCCCAGTTATGAAAGGTAGCACCTGTATGTAACCAGTAACTTCAGCTGCCCGAAGCCAGTATTTTAATGCAACTGCTGGATGTATTCTGTCTCCAGTAACAGGAGTAAGAAAAGAAAAATTGGACAAGAACCAAGTCAGAAGGTCTCATGTGTTAAATAAAAGATGAGGAAGTTAAGAACTGTGAAATCAGAGGGGAGGAAAAAAAACAAACTTACAAGTAGGCTTCCTTCACAGCAGTTTAGAAAGCAGCAAAAGTATTACAGCACTGAAGACTAGCAGGTGTTTTGCCACTTCAAAAGAAGAGAAACTGGAAGAAGGAGGGTTTCTGGGGGAATGGTTCAAAGAGAACGAAGGGTTAGATAAGGCACATTTCAAGAAGAGACTCAGTTGTGGAAAACAATAATTCGTGATACAGGTAAACTCTGAAAGCAGCTGAACTCTCCCTGAAGGGGTGATTTACAGGCAAAGCAGGCATATCGTCTCCTGCTGATGCTAAGGTGGCAGCAGCAACTGGGAGCAACCACGCACCATGCCAGGCCACACAGGACCATCCTGCTGCAGAGCCCGAAGGCACAGAGCTGCAACTGATTTAATGAAAGGAAAAAAACATTCTCTTAGTGATGAATCAAACTAAGTTTTGGGCAATTCTGGCCATCGTGGCAGTACTCAGATGAGACTAAGAAGGCAGAATGGTGTTTCAGGCAGTAATTACAAGAGAAAATACACCGAGGAACATCAGATAATGCTGCCAAAGGACACAGTTTTGAAGAGAATCAGCCAGCAAATTGCTAGTAGTGTCTAACATCAATTTCCCCATCAGGGCAGCGCTGGGAAGCTTTTCTAGCTTAGGTCACATGTTCATTTCTTTCTCATGGCTTCCCTTGCTTTCCAGCCAAGCAACAACCCCAGTGCAACACTAGCTTGTTTTGAAGAGCTGGAAAGCCTCTCCCATACCAGTCACCAGGAAACACAAAATGCAGTTGTAAATCTGCAAAATTAAGGAACAAGCGGACAATGCAATGACAGGACAGCAGCAATACAAGGTCACAGCCACAAAAGAAATGCAATGACTGCAATGTGCTGCTTCTCTTTCCTTCCTGCCCTGGCACCCTGAAGTCCTACTTGTATTCAGGTTAGTCCTGCCCATATGCGTAGGAACACGCAGGGTGCCTCCTGGATGGAGTAGGAAAGGTATTCCTGCTCCTGACCACTGAACTCTTCCCTCTGCCTGCACTCAGGAAGAACAAATATGCTGGCTATTTTCAACTTTACCATCTCCTCTAGAGAGCTTTTGCTTGTGTTGAACCAGCTTGTCTTATACTATGGCCCAAACTGCAAAAGTAAAAAGTGTGTGCAACACCCATTTGCACTTAGAACTTCACACAGGCCAGAGCGCTAGGCACTTTCAGACAGATGTATTAACACTTATGCACTCAGCATACAGTGTTTCTGTCTTGTACACACAAATCTAGAAAGGACAACAGGTAAAGAAATTACAGAAAGCAGCTGCTTAAAAGAACAATGAGCAAGAGTCATCATCACAAAAAAAGAGGCAAGACCAAGATAGAAGCGATGGACAACTAGGGGAAAACTGAGGACAAACAGGCAGAACAACACAAGGAGTTGAATGATAAAGATGCAACAAGAAGGTATTACTGAAGCATAGGTGAGGCTTCTACTCAGACTTGGACATCTCTCAGGGGAGAAGGGAGAAAGAGGTGATAGGATGTGCTGGGTTACTTACATGGGGCATAGAACATCATCAGAAGGGGTTTGTCTTCCTTCTTCAGAAGCCTTCTCAATTCCTAACAAATGAACCAAAGAAAATAAAAACAGACCTATACCCAAGGATACCTCTTATTATTTGTGTTACAACTTAAAAAAATTAATATGTATATTGATACAGGCTCGTTTATCTGAGGGAAGAGGGGTCATCTTTCCTAACAGACAAGACTTGAGTTTCTTCTCCTTGCTCAATTTTAACTTGAAAGAAGATGGCAAAACTTATTATAGATTAGAATGTCTGCTAAATATCCTAGACCAGTATCTTCACTGTTGAGATGTGGAAGTTGCATGGCTTGGTTTATTTTCACTGCAGAATCTCTGACGGGAAACTTTTTCTTCCCTGACCTATCCAAAGAGCCATACTCTAATTCAAAAAGTCAGGCTAAATAATAAACAAACCAAGTTCAGTTAACACACTATGAAATCTTGTCAGAGCTATGAGAAGCCACGAGAATAGATTTTTCAGTACCGGCGTGATAGAGAAACCAGATGAAGTTTTGAAATTGAATGCAACCCTTGCAAGGCTTCTAATAGAGTACAGAGGGCGAACATTAAATATTAATCTTCCTACAAAAACTGAATGTCAAAATAACTGTTTCTAATATTAAAAATGAAAGCCAGAAAATTAAAAAGGCCCTCTACGAAATACCAGCTAGAGTCCAATCAATTAAAGTTTTAAAAAAATCTATAGACTAGAAAACTAATACAAAAGACCAAGCTGATTATATTGGAGAGAAAATAATGGGTAGCTCTGTGGTGGCACTGGCTTCTTAAGGTAGTTTCATTGTATTTGCTGCTTTCCCACTTAACACTGAGAAGACAGTTACCGTACAAGATTAAATCACTCAAGATTCAGATCCTGTTCCTTCCTGCTCCAGACTTCCTGAGACAACCTCAGGCACATGAGGGAACCCAAGTTTTAATGAAAACCTGCAGTTGTAAAAGCAGCGTTTTACCTCCTACTTGCACCCTGCAGTGATTGCATCTTGCAAGCTGCTACACTTTCCTAAGACAAACAGGTCTCTTCAGCCACTCCATCCACAATGCTTTCATACTTGCCATGTAGCCAGATGACTAATATCCTGACCACATGTACAGGAGAGGATGGTGGGAAGCAGGAGATTTTACTCTATAGTTATCACAATCCACAAACTTTGTCAAGTCACTTAAAACAGTTTGGATGCTTTAAACTTCCCTTCCAAAGAAAGGAAATAATGGTGCTTCTTCATTAAAGAGTTAACAAAAACATACACACACCCTTCATCCCATATATTTATAAAACATATACAACATCTATCCACTAATGTACCTTTTCACTGTCAACATGCACAACATCTTTGGCTTCAGGATCCTCCTCCCAGAGTGGAGCACCTTCTGGATCCTTGAGAAAGGCCACAATAGACTGTAATAAACACAGGAAAAAAGCTTTTAAAGCAAAATGAATGGAAACCATGCGACATCCAATCTCAAATCTATGCTGTCATGCAAACTTCATTTAATTAGTGCACGGCCTTTGCTTTCTGTTCATACTCGTCTGCTGTAACACAGATGAACACAAATCTCCTATCGCAGAGCCAAGTGATATAGGGGTGTACACCTTCCGCATAACTTGTAACTCGACTTACCAGTTCACATTTCCACTATAAAACTGGGGAAAACAGTGTGGAAGTAGACCAGCACACAGGCAGCAGGCTTCAAGGATCCTTCAGAGAGTTCTTTCAATGGTACTGGATCTGCAATACTTCCACAGTTACTCCCTGGCTTAGCAGGAAAGATTTCTTTTTATGTAGAGGTCAGGTTCCCATGCCCTCCACCGTATCGGAGTAACCTTTGAATCCAACAGGACTAGATGGAGGGCACACTGACACTCGCTGTGAGCAAAAGCAATGAGCTCCACATTTAAAGATCAAACTGCTTATTTGGTCAAAGGAAGAATAATCCACCAATAGTTTCCTCTATGACCCATCTACCTAGAAACTGCACTCAGAAGAAGCAAACCCGACAAGAGAAGCGGGAAATACGAGACCCTATGATTCTGTAGCTCCCATATTCAACAGGCTGAGTATACACACATGCATACTTTATAACTGCTTTACCTGACTGACACACAACCAACAATCTGTTTCAGCAGACCACAGATATTCTCTAATCATAAGCAAATACTCTCCGATGGCTCCAATTTCAGCCTGAGGGAAACTCCAGCCCTCCGAAGTCAATGAGATGCTCTTCACAGATTCCAACAGAATCACACTGCCCCCCATTTCCAGCTGTACATGGAAGCACAGGCTCGATCGCTGTTAGCCTTGGATATCTGTGCTCTAGGAAACATAATACTTGGTTTTCTGTGTTCATTCACCACTCAGATTGACCCCATTTCTTTCTCCGTGGCATTCATTGTAGGTACATGTCCACTCCCAGATAAGATTTCTGCCACATCAGTAACGTAGTGAGGTCCCTGCGGAGCTTCGTTCAATGTAACAGTGAGTGGATGATGCTGCCACAGCACTAGGTGAACTTCCTTGCAGTCGGAGCAATGAAAAGTTCATTAAAGCCTTTTTCAGCCCATGGGAAATTCTGCCAAAGCAGCTCATGACTGAAGAGCAGAGCTGAATATATACTAACACATGCCAAAAGCATCCATCTAAAAGCCTAGATTTGCACTCCACCTTCTCAACAGCAGGTTAGCAGCACACCTGGTGACACATGCCACGGAAACAGCCTGAGACACTTTTGCCACTTCTCTGCCTTTGGTAAGGCTGCTCTGGTACAACATCCCAACAGCTTATCAACAGACAATGGAGGTCAGCCCATTTTCCTGCATCTCAGTTGGCACTGCAAGGCTTGGGGGGATTCAGAGCTTATGGCAGGATCCGTTTATTGCATTTATGTTTCTGTCTACTTGCACAGCTAATATTGAAGAGATTTGTCTTATCACAAGAGACAGCATATATTAGTCACTAGACAGCAAGAAAGGCACTTAATGTACACAGTAAGAAGACCTAAGGGGTGAGGTAGTAGTGTTTGGACAACAAACACTTCAAGGAGAAGAAATTTGTGAAGAAGAATATGGCATTAGCAGAGAAAGGAGATAGCTAGGAAAAAAAAATAAAATCAAGTAATTTATAATGGAGTTATAGTTGTAAAAACCTCTAAAACTAAAGACATTAACATCCCAAATGATGCCCTAAGAAGACTTAATAATATACAGGAAAAGGAGAAAAGAGGACAAACTTGGGGAGATGTTCTACATTTAGGAAAGCTACATCATGTTCTGCTCACTCTCAGTCTGCACAGTCCTCAACTATACACTGGAGAAAAGGAGAGAGTGGTCAACATTTTAAATGGCTAATGAGTGCAATTGACTCCGCTAGTTTCAAGAATGCCTGCGTGCCAAGTTCAGTCATGTAGAAACAGATGTGGTTAGAGGATGGGGGATTAAGGAGATTTAATTCATCCAACCTCTCCCTCTCAGCCAAGAGAGAAAAAATTAGATGTGTAATGTCTTCTGGCAGGAGCAGGCAGTACGTTGCCTTGCACTCATTACTCCATGCAGTGAAGAGAACTTCCTGTGTGCCTTTAAATAGGAAAGAACACCCCCAACAAACCAGCACTTTGTAATCACAGAAAAGCAGTGGTCCCCAGGCTGCTGCGTTAGAGACCAGACCAAGGTCCGGGCCACAGGAACGCCCACATTGAAGAATCAGCTATGCTCCTGTCCTGCCGCGACGAGGTCAGGACCCACTTTGACCCTGCAGCACCGACACAGCCACGCTGGACTGCAACTCGCTGCCTGAACCCCTGCAAAAGCTTTGAACCTTAAACAGATTCAGCAGAATACAGGACATGGCTTCATCCAGCCTATGCTGCTAACAGCTAGCAAGTTTCAACAGCACAATAGCTGGCAATCATATACGGATCTAGGTTTTACCCTGAAAAAAAATATAAAATATATACACAGAAACATATCCCCGTACTTTTCACTCCTTTGAAGTATAATGCAATAGGGATGCTAATAAAAAGACTTCCCTTGATTTCATACACGCACTCTTTACAACAGCAAACTTGAAAAGGATTCAGATTTTAGAGCAGGACCGATTTATTGGGTTAGTCTATTCCCTTTGCTAGTACTGAGCAGATTTGTACTTTAATGAGTTTTCTTCATTTTAGAAGGAGAGTAGAACTCTCCCTGTACTGTATCCTCCAGAAAAGGCTTCATCACATAATAAACACAGCCTGGATACTGGCCTTGTGGCACTATTGAGGATTAGGACATGGTGTGGCTAAAGCAATGTACAAAGAGATACACCAGTTAAGATCAAAGACTGATCTAAACTTAGGTCTCCAACAGCAGCTGACTACAGACACTTGGGGAAAAACTACACTAGTACCATTCTTATATACCATACACTGGTATATGTTTTTAATTTCTGGCAAAAAGTAATCAAGTTTATGGACTGTGCACCAGCTGTTGTATTTGGACCTCTGTGCTTGCTAACTATCAATGGACCTATCCTTTATGACTATCTAAAACTGTTTTTAAGACTACTGAATTCTTGGCTTTCACGACATGTAGCTAGGAGTTCCACAACTGGGGTTTTTTTTACACATTGCAGTTGTTTCAAATCAACCCTCCCAATATGCCACTCTTTGCACCCAAGTTTGGAGAAAAAAATAGGTAATCATCCCCTTTTTCAAGCTACTCAGTTATACAAGTATCTATCGTGGTCTCCTCCAGTTATCATTTTTTCCAAGCCCAAGAATCTTCACATAAATATCCAAGCCACCTGTGCCTCTAATCATCCTCTTCACTGCCTTTCTGCAGTATTTCTACATCTTTCACTCCATGGGGCAACCAGAATCCCATACAAGACATAAGATGGACCCAAGGGACTCAGATGGTAGAATAGTATTTCCTCTTCCATTCTCTGTTCCTTTCCTACTCATTTGAATTTTAAATACTATTAAGTATAGGACAATATTTTCAAGCCAACCGCTGTCCTGACTGGTATTTCAAAACCTATTACACTAACCTGTATTATACCAGCATAGTTGGAGCTAGGTCCTCTCCTTCCCTCTCATATTCATTACCCTTCAAGTTCCTACTTTCATACTGACAAACCACTTGGTATTGTGAGAACCTAAACCCTTCTGCAAAGAGTTAGAAATATTTTTTTAAAACTATTCCTAATAATTTTGCATCACCAAACTTTGTTATCTTGCAGTCCACCTCCCTTGACCAGATACCCCAAACAGCTCCGATCCTAACACAGGTCACAGCAGCAGGACGTTCTGACTGCTAACTAACTTCCCCCCCACTATGAACACAGCTATCCTTTATTCCTCATTTTTATAACAGTAAACCCCCAAGGACATCTCTGCTAATTACGTAAGGAATTAGTTACTTTAAGAAATGCAACGATTTTCTTAAAAACCTGAGTACACTATCAGCTGGATCAGCCACAACTATGAAATTGCCGATTACTTCAGAAGAATCCTTTTACAGTTCTTCAGAGCTGAGTCCATCATTCTCCAAAATGTCATACATATATTAATATGTCGACTGGATGCCTAGAAAGAAGATCCGAGTTTTATTGCCACAAGCTTGCTGAATGATGTGAAACAAATCCTTTAATCTTCCTGTTCTTCAGTGTGTCCACCTGTCCGTAAAATGAGTATGACACCCTACATAATTGTGTTGCTCTGCTACTCACTGTTTGTAATGTACTGGGAGATTCCCGACAAACACAGCTGAGAGAAAGAAAGAAAGGTCACTGCCTCAACAGAAGAATGCAGGGAGAAGTGGTATAGAGGGAGAAATACAGAAAATATTCAGGCAGCTGTGAGCAGGAGAACAAGCAAACACTCAGCTGAGTTATTTGACCACTGCCCAGCTCTGATACACTGTCCAACCTGTAAACCATTAGCAGCCGGTTTCACAGGGCCAGTTAAGTTAAGAAAGGCTAGAGGTCCTGCAACGAGGGAGCTTCAAAACCCCCCTTCCACCCACAACGGAATCCCGCATCCCTGTCCACAGGATGCTGCTTCCCTCTCCTCAGCAGGCAGGGCAAAAGTGAAGGGGGGAATGCTCATCACAAAATAGAAACTGTAGGAATAAATGGTATGGTTCCTGTTGTGCTGTGATTGCCTCTCAGCCCAACACTCCCTGGGGCTCTGCAGCAGGTGCTTTCCAGTTGATCCAATCTGTAAGGAAGAGTCACAGCACTAATTTGCACTTTATGGAGGGCAGGAAAGACATGTCATGCATTGTTCGAACCGCTCAAATTTAGGCAACAAGTCTCCCTCACCCTGCCACCCACCAAGAGTTCACCAGGTGCATTTCCTTACTAAGAACAGAAGAAGCTTCAGGCACTCGCTGACTAAGCGCGGTATCTAACATTGCCCTTCCTAATGCCAGACAAGATTTCTACTGCAGGAGATGGGAAGATACACAGTCCTACTCTCCCCACCTCGGGCGAATCCTGCATGGCGACCCCAAGTGCAGGCTGAATGGATGATTCAAGCCAGGGAGCATTTCCAAGTCAGCCCCCCATCAGCTACCCCACAACAACTCTGGCTGTAAAAGGAAGGTCCAGAGCCACTGCGCTTAGGAACGTCCACTCTAACAGATTCAGGTTCATGTAGCATCTCACAAAGACCTTCCTCTATCCCAGGCCAAACCCCTGAACAAACCAGAAAGGGGAAGCAATTGTAATGACATCAGCCTGGGCTGGTGTCATTAAGCCTCCATAAGACCAAAGATGGTACGGAGGCCGGGTTCACTGGAGGAGGAAGAGAAATGGGAACCGGGCATCAGAGCTGGACAGAAGTAATTTCTGGAAGCCAAGTCATCGCAGGGCTGCAGCCTTACATGAGGATACTCCCAGTACTTCAGCACGGCTTTGCAGAGGAAGGCTGCACACTTTCAGCCTACTTACTGTGCTTTTAGTCCACCATTTCCACAATCATCAAGATCTACACATTTGTTTTGCGCTTCGTGTTGTCCTCCTTCCATTGCCTATTATTGCTTTGTGTCAAGGTTTGCAGAAGAAGGAAGGTCGTTTTATCCCTGCTGCACTCAGGGCACGTCCATAGGAACTGTAGTTCCATAATCCAATAAAAAAATAAGGCCACTCAGCTCTCTTTACAGTTTATAAACACACAACCTAAAAACCTCAGAGAACGCCTTATCAAAATGCAGTATCAGCTAATACTTTTAGTTATACTGCCATTAATAGCACCTAGTAATCAAAACAAAAAAAAATCCGTATTTGTTACCAGCCTGCAAGTTAACTCACAATTTACATTACAATTCCACGTGGGTTCAATCTTTTTAATAATATACAATTTTCCTGGATCTGTGGTTGGCAGACACAAACACACACAAAAACCTTTAGGTCATTCTGACAGCTGTTTATGAAGACTAACCCCCTCCCTTTCATGCCTTCAGCATGAAAAAGTACCAACACCTGTTTTTAATCCACAAATGTCTCCCCTGTACCTAGCAAAACCAAAAGAATAATAATCAAATATTTAAATTTACCTTCAATGTGACCGCTCTGTTATATTCAGTATGAAATGCACCATCCCTGTTGAACAAGGAGTGGGGAACAGTGTTAACTTACAGTAACGTTGCTGGAAATCATACAGCTGCTTTTCCTCACTTCTCACTAACCAGAATAGCATTAACCTGCTGAAGCCACAGAACTAAATAGAATTTACAGTACAGTAATTTAAGAGGGAAAAAAGAGTAAGGAAAAACAAAGACTGCAAAACAGAGTGTAAAGCAAACAGGTTTCTAATAAATAATTTCCTCCCTGACACTTTAACAAGAGTATTTACTAAGGCGTGATCTTTGGAGATGGAGATGCCGCTGCTTGGTGTCTCTTACACTTAACAGTACTCCCACTCCTATTATTTCCAGGAAGAAAATCTCCTGCTGTCTCACTACACTTGCCTTTCTCCACTTACTTTACCAAGTACTATCTCAAGTCAGAAAAGCAAGCACAGAGAGGTGAAGCGACTTGCCCAAGGCACATGCCAGCGGGCTCGTGACAGAGAAAGTAAGAGAGCTTAAATCTCAGGCATCAGCCCTGTGCATTGGGTGGTTTTAGTCCTTTGGGCATCTCTTCCAGGCCCCACTCATCCTCTATTCAACAGCAGAATAAATTTATCTCAACTGCTGTCACAACACATGCTTGAAAAGTGAAGAAACAGTAATCAATTTCATATGTCAAAGGATTAAAAAAAAAAAAAAAAAACATGCTGCAGCAGTATGGAGCTGCAAGGAGAAGGAATAGTCCTAACAGGGGCATTAACAATTAGGAACTACAAATCCCAGCCCAGCACTCACTTATAATGGAGTAATTCCACTCCTTTCTCCTTTGAATTAGGATCTACTTTCATCTTCTTGCATAATTTTCGGCTTTCAGTATCACTGCAAAAAACACATATTGGAAGAAAAATGGTTACAAGAAAGGAAATTCAAATGCATTCACTTCTGAAAACTCATTGCTGTGCTTCCTCATCAGCAATTAGCTGCAACTAACAGTCATTTGGAAGCTGTTCAGCCAAGTTTGTGGGACAAGCATTGTAGAAAGCTGCATTAGCCAATTTAATTTCTCCATTTGCTTGATCAGGACACAGTGAACTGTGGTAAAACAACATTCCAAAGCCAGGCTCTAACCAGTAGAAAAACAGCCCATTCTAGCATGTCCGAGTACCTCAGCAGACCTTCTGTCCACAGGATTAACACAAAATTTAGGAAGTTGAGTTTTCAAGAAGACCGTGCTACTGTTAGGGTGGTGGTCAAAGAGCACTGTTCGCTAAAAGGTTCAAAGAGAAAGAGCAGGTCAGCTTTTATATCTGGCAGAGGATAACTCAAAACCAGAGAGAAACATCTTCATGGTATCTTCAAGCCCAGATTACAACTGGCTAGCCCTTTTCTGCAGAAAACAAAACCCAATTCAAATTTTGGAGCCCCAAGCCCAGCAACTCCATTTACTCTAGGTATTAGGGATGTGTCCTGGAGCCACACCTGGCAAGTGGAGGTAACTACCATCTGCCACAGCTCCTGAATGAAGAAGGCGGCACGTGAGAGCAGACAGCCCTGCTGGAGGTGGTTTTCAAACTGAACACGAGTGAATAGCTTCCAGCACCAGATTAAGCTGAGCTGAAGAAGAGAGAAGGGTCATGGGAGCAAACTGCATATACACTTGCTTAGGTGGGCAGGTAAAGGGTCTTTATTGCCTAACTGCTGTCCTAAACAATGTGGAAGTGAAGTTATAAGGATACTTCAAGCTGAAGTGAATCTGAAGTCAAAGACATGAGGAGATGAGTGAAACAGTGCAACTACAAAGAAAAGAGGATGATTCACACTGACAAGAGTATTCTTTGCATTGACAAACTGCAAGATTAAAAAGCTTGGAAACTTGTTCCCAGCAGAGGACAACTTGTACCTTTTACGCAGATAAATCAATTTAGAAAATGAAAACACTGAAAACCCATCAAGTTTAAACTGATTAGAGACAAATTAGAGACACCAAGATGCAAGGGTTGCAAGAGCCCCACCAAATTAAGTGCTGCTGCCAGCACTGGTGCTAATTCTCCCAATGTTCTCCAGCTGCCTTTCTGCAAATGCGAGGAACAACAACCAGTAAATTCATAGTGTGCTGCAAATAAGAGCGTGCCTTTGTGGAAATTTCCCAAATGCTTATTGTAGATGGAAATGAGGAGAGGGCGCTATGGACACATGCCTCAAAATCAGAATATTATGCTGAAGATGGAAATGAGCATTTTAAGGAACTAACAAAGCATGCAGCTACCTTACCAGGAAGGAGCACCTGTAATCCCAATTGTATAGAAGCATGTTCATCTGAAGAGTCTTACTGAATTCATGTCAGTTCTGCATTTTCGGATCATAGTCAAAACTAGTCATTGTAACCCATAAACTCCTTCTTTGCTGCTCCAAGAGGCTGGAGATCCAAGTCTGGTAAGACAGTTATTTTCACGCTGCCTGCTGCATCTTTGTTTTCCCCAGACTGCAGCGGAAGGTGGAGCTAAATCAAATATTGACTAACATGAACATCTCTCCTTGTAACAAAACTAGATTATGAGACAAATAGCCTGGATTTGGATTTTTGCCGAGAAGGTGGTTTGCCCCGTGGAGTTTGTACAGAAAGTCTGCAGCAACATCAAACCCAGGGCCCAGAAACATCCTGTCTTCTCTCACCTGCAGTACTCCAACTGTCCCATGGGCTAAACCTAAGCGACTCAAAGGTCAGGCAAACTCAGGAGGAGGCACCAGTTTCCAATCATCTTCCCGTCTTACCCCAGAGATAGCTACAGGCACAGAGAAGCCCTTGTGGCCCTGCTAGAGCTGACTGCCAGACAGCTAACTAAAGTCAGCCCACACCACAGTCAACATTTGTAAATGCTCTTCTAGACACTCCCAAATGTTTCCAGGATACATGTATATTTGCGGCCATCTCAGCCTTGCCAAGACAAATGTTAGGCGGTTGATGTGAACAAGTGTAATGCTGAAACCTACCTCCAGCTACAGGGTCTGTCAAACCCTGACACGTGCAGACAATTGTTCTGGCATCAGCAGTGGACCAAAACAGGTGTCAAGACAATTCTGTTGCCAGTTCTACCACCGATTTGGTACATCTTTAAACCATGTGGGGGGAAAAAAGTGTAATTGTTCCTTATGTGTCATTTAGACATCCAGATGCTCATCTTAGAAGAGTTCTGCAAGGATTATAGTTGAAAAACGCTACGAAACATTACTACTGAGATGTACCTGTAAGCAAGCAGCTAGCAACTCCTACCACTCCAACTCCTACAAATTCATATTCTGTTCACATGAGTTGCTATTTAAAAAAAGAAAGATAAGAACAGCTGTTTCATTGGAAGGAAACACGATCTAAGCCTGCCCTGCTTTCAGGATTGCTCCATTTGTAGAGATTCACATAGCTGCTTGAATGCACATCCACTATCACAGGAAAGAAAGCAGCAGTTTGCTCCAGTATGTTCTCTTACTATTTAGTGGGCAGATTCTTTGCACCACTGCATTGGGAGTTTAGTCTGTTTATGCAAGCTATCCGCACTGATGTAAGGGATGGAAGAGGAGCAAATTCCCAGAATAGGAAGTGCCTAAATATGTATCAGTAATTTTTTCATGCATCAGTGCAGATTTTTACACACGCCAGACCCACCAACTCAGATGCTATACTAATGATTCTTTGTAAAAAGCAGAAAAGGAGACATACAGAAATGGCAGAGATGGACCTGTTCTGCTTTTCCTTCTGCTTTCACTTACAGCCAGACAAAAATAACCTGCAAAGAGCAACCTGCTCTGATATCACTTAGTAATGACCATTATCCTTAATAAGAGTAAATATCAACACAGATGCAGTCTGCTCTGAGAGATTTTTCTCTTTTGGATCTCAGCCAACAGCCTCTCTCTGAAGATGAGCTCCTCAACTCTCACAGGGGAGATGGTAATTAGGACTCCGGTTTTTGCAATTTTATTATACCACTTGAAGAGGCAGTGTAAGAGTTTGTTACAAAGACTAGAAGGGAAGAAAAAACCACAACAAAATCACAAAATCCAAAAAGCCAGAAACCATCCCCAACATCAGCACTCCAGACACTCCAAGATACTCCAGACAAGGTATCAGGCTCAGGAAATCCCAGTTTGAGGATGAGGTCAGCTATGTCCCCCCAGCAGCCACCCTCGTCTGCCTTATGCCATTTCTGTCCAGAGAAATTCAAACCCTCACAGGTCCCTGTGGTACTGCTGAAGGGACCTCTGCTTTGCCTGCAGGCAGTCCTACAAAGCATCCAGCTCTATCTCCATGGAAAATCATCCAAAATACCCACCTGTTTGCAATACCACAAAGGACCTAAACAGCAGCTGTCTATGTAGTAGTAAGGTCAAACCTTAAGTGGCACAATGGCACAGCTTCCTTCCAGTCCCACAGGCACGTTCCTCACGCTCCCCCTTCCCATGAAACCAGACCGGGATCCAAAACACTCCTTTGCTGGAGAAGCAAAGGCATATGGCAGCTTGGAAAATGAACGATAAAATCAAAGATCCAAGTTGACCTAACTAAGCAAGAAGTCTAAAATAACAACAAAGACAGCATGCATCACAGGAATACTTCACCCCTTTCCATTCACATCCCCATGTCCTCTACTGGGAGACGCTTCTGTCATTAGGGGTTACGACGGAGCTGGCAGGAAGCCTGACTGGAGCGCTCCCTATAATCCTCTGGGATCCCTTGTCAGCATTAGCACGCATGAATAATCACTTTGCACAGGCAGCCAGCTGTTACTGGGGCAGGAGGAGGGTGAGGGTCTTGTGAAGGAGCTCTGACCTCCTTTGGCTCACCACCAGTGAAGCCAGCACCTGAAGGAGATGTGCAACAGGTGTTCCTCAAGGGTGGTGCAGGATGCTCTGCCTGGGCAGGGCTGCCCACAGGCCTGGCAGCTGATGATGAAAACGATGGAGAAGCAGTGAGAGATACCGATGGCAGTCCCCAGTGCAACCCAGAGAAAGGCTTTTGCAGCAATGTCTCACGGTAATTTGAAGACAGAAAGAACAGAGGACAAAGCCAGACAGGAAGATCCGGGAGTTTGGCTGCAGCAAGTCCACATTGGTTTCTAAAAAACAAAACAAGTCTGAGTTGGATGGACCCTGAGTAAGAAACAGTATACCGAGGTGGTAGTGCAAAACACCCTCCTGGGGGGGAATACAAATATTATCCTGGCAGGTCCTGAATACAGCAGACTAAGATCGAACATCCTCAGCACCATCTTCTCTCACAAGCACAAATAAGATCTTCTGCAGCTCCCTAATTATTTCCCTTATCACATAATGCTGTCCATTGGCTTCTCATCAAGAAAGGAAAACAGCCCTATAACCACATCAGCCTCTGAGGACAAAGGCTCTGGAACGACTGTCAAATCCCCTCTTAGGAAATGACAAAAATGCCATTCAAAAAAAGTTGATGACTCCAGTTGCCAATGTAATAGCAGCACGTGCATGTGCTGTGTGGCCATACCACTTCAATGACAGTGCTGGCACCTACTAGTGCTTTGCAACGCAGACTGGACCCAGCCTTCTTTTTCATCCGTACCTACAGTGTTTCCAGGCACAAGAGAAGTAATTCATAAAAACACTGACACCACCAATTTAAGTAACCAGGTCAGTAAATCTGCCTGCACAAAAACTCATTCCTCTATCAGCATATCATGTAACCACATGTGAACCACAGACCTCACAACCTGTACACAGATTTTCTCTCGTCTATCTGTACATCTCTGTCTGAAACAGGGCTCAACAATCCACATAAATTATGCTTCATCACTCCTTTATATCACAGTTGCACCTGCAGACCTCAGCGCAATGCAAGCTCTATTGTACAGACAAAC